CTAATCTATTCCCCTGAGATAACTAGGAAGGAAATTACTTTTGGGATTTATTTATTTATTTAGAGACAAGGTCTGGTTCTGTCGCCCAGGCTGTAGTGTAGTGGTGCAATCACCACTCACTGCAGCCTTGGCCTCCCAGGCACAAGCGATCCTTCCTCCTCAGCCTCCCAAGTAGCATGACTACAGGTGCATGGCACCATGCTTTGTAGAGATGGGGTCTCGTGATGTTACTCAGCCTGTTTTCAAACTCCTGAGCTCAAGCAGTCCTCCCACCTCAACCTTCTAAAGTGCTACAATTACAGGTATGAGCCTCCACGCTCAGCCACTATGTTTGAGTTTTACGTCGGAGAAACCCAGTTTAAGTTCTGCAAGGAATTAACAAATAAAATTAGCTAAAAATAGCATTTTCCTCTATTCACCAGATGTTTGAAGGTACCATTCCACACCTTGGCATGGCACCCTGTGCTTTCCTACCCCATCCTTCACGAGCCCCTGTCCTTCCCCTCCTTCTCCTCATCATCACTCAAATGACAGATCCAAATGAAATTCCTCTTTGCACCCTTTCTGGTTACCCAGGGAGACTCATTTCACTATGCCCTGAATATCCACACTTTTAACCTTCCTTCTCACTTTGTGTCATGGTTATTTTGAAGCAGATCTTATCTTTCCTGTAAGACTACAACTGTCTTGGAGACAAGATCTTTGATTCAAATGTACAATTACAGAGAATGCCTAATGTTGTTCCTTTCACATATTAGTTGCTCAATATGCTTGCTTAATTAATAAATAGTTAAAATTTGGCAAAATATCTGAAAACAGTAGAAATCAACTGTATTTTGATTTCAAAGATGTAAAATTGCATATCAAAGTTGTAACCAATTCTGGAAAAAAAAATACTCTATTTTTTTAAGAGCCAGGTCTCCCTGCTGCCCATGCTGGAGTGCAGAGTTCCATCATGGCTCACTGCAACCTTGAACTTCTTGGCTTAAGCAATCCTTCCCCCTCAGCCTCCTGAATAGCTGGGACCACAGGTGTATGCCACATGCCCTGTTATTTATTATATATATATTTTTTGAGATGGAGTCTCCCTCTGTTGGCCAGGTTGTAGTGCAGTGGTGTGATCTCAGCTCACTGCAACCTCCACCTCCTGGTTTCAAATGATTCTCCTGCTTCAGACCCCTGAACAGCTGGGATTACAGGTGCGTGCCCCCCATGCCCAGCTAATTTTTGTATTTTTCGTAGAGATGGGGTTTCACCATACTGGTCAGGCTGGTCTCAAACTTCTAACCTCGTGATCCCCCCGCCTTGGTCTTCCAAAGTAGTGGGATTACAGGCATGGGCCACCATGCCCAGTCATTTTTTTTTTTTTTTAAGAGATAAGGGTGTCTTCCTATTTTGCTTAGGCTGGTCTTAAATTCTTGGGCTCAAGTGATCCTCTCGCCTCAAGCTCCCAAGGTTCTGGGATTACAAGCACGAGCCACCGAGCCCAGCCAGAAAATACCCTACTCATCTTGAGGTATATACAGTGTTTTAGGAGACCCCTCAGGAGTAGCTCTGAAGGAGATGCTGGTACATGGGGGAGAGGCAAAAGGGAACTCGCCATGATATGTGTTCTCCAGGTGAGGCAGGGGCTTGACTGGTTGCCCCTCCACAAAAATCCTGCCCTCATAAACTCACAAGAATATGAAGACAGTGTTCTCACTATAGGGTTTATTCTGAATACCTATTAAACATGGCTCTTTTTTAAAATCGGAAACATTGTCTATGTTTTTTTCTTTTTCAATAAACGTGAACTGAAATTTTAAAAAGCACAGGCCTAACATAAAAGCTTCTTCATAAAGGAGGCTTAACATCACAGGCAGAAGCGAGGCGGCTGAGCACTGTTATTGTGTACACAGTAAATCAGGCACAAAAAGGGGCAGACCAGGAGGGCAGCACGAGGGTAAGAGACACGCTTAACCCCCTGCACACATCGCTGCTCAGCTTCCCCCATCTCAGCCTCGGCAGCCTCTGCCGAGTGTGTCACGGATGTAACAGGCCATTTTCAATCTAAATCTTGTTATAGATTAATAAGCAAACATTTTCTTGCTTATTATGCAATTTATCATGATGAAAATTACATTGGACTCCTCAAGGCTACATGCTGATACATTCATTTATTCAGAGCTGTGTATAGAAAGTCATACTAATCTTCATGACAGAAAAGGATGTAATAGCAAGATTTAAATTGCCTACTGAAAACTACAGTGTTTGTGTCTGGGGACAAACTACATGTAGATAAGACCTAAGCGCATCTATATGCTTGCTGATACAAGCTTCATGTAACTTTATTTAAAAACAAAAATCAAATAAAATATCAAATACTAACCCTGAATAAAAACCCAGGCAACAAAACAGTGTTCTCCTCCCAGGTAACAAAACAGTGCATACTACTGAAATTGTGTTTTGATCAGGTTTACAAATAAGCTCCAAAATTAAATCAAAGCAAAATTTTAGAAAATCAAAAAATGTGAATGTTTCTCAAGGCGAACCAGGGGAGCTGCAATAATAGAAGCCAGCACTGCTGTCATGTGGTGGGTACATACAACAGCTGCAGCCAAGGGGAGGGCAGAGGTGGAAAAGATGTTCTGGGGGCTTCATGCAAAGACCAGCTGCCTCGTACTATAGGCACAGACTCCTGGGCTCAAATTCCCTCCTAATCCCTCAAGTCCATTGAGAACCTTCAGGCCGCCTGTATCCAGAAAACCATCCTGCCTACCATTATGCTAAACTGCTTATTCTAGAGTCGGGCAGCTCTTGATTTGCTGAATACAAGGACCTAACAATGGCATCACCACCAATACTTCTGCCACACAGGAAGCCACTTAATCTCTTAATAAGGGCTCGCTATTCGAAGAATTTTACAAATATAACTCATTTAACATCAACCTTAGGAGACTGGCACTTTAATTAGCCCCAACTTGTGGATGCAGAGAGATGAAGTAATTTGCTGGAAGGCATACAGCTAGGGAGACACCAAAGTAAAGTTTAGGATGTAGGCATGTAAAGTTTAGGTAGTATGACAGGAGGTAATGGTGGGGGGCAGCGGCTGTTTAGGTTTGAGATGAACGTCCTCTTTCTACCAGTCGTCGAGGGACTTTGGGCTGCAATGCCCAATCTGTAGACAAAGCCACAGAGTTCCATTCTAGCCTTCAGTTGCTTCTCCGGTCTCCACTTCCTAAGCACAGAGCAGTCAGTAGAAAAACTACAGACCCAAAGCATGCCAGAACCTAAGGGAATGGCAAAGCGAAGGGCTAAGAACTCTATTTTTAAAAAAGTTAACAATGACAAGAATGAAACACCATTCATTGAGAAAATCCACGTGGTGGTAACATTTTTGTTAAGGGAGGCACTATGGGACAGTTTAAGAATTCCAACCACTTCAGACCCACTGGGATGGTTAGCTTAAAAAAATAAAAAATAAAAAAAGAGAGAGAGAAAAAAATCCAAATGTTGACGAGGAAAATGTTGTAGAGAAAACGGAACTCAAAGAAATGAAAACAGGTGTTCAAATACTTACACACGAATGTTTATAGCAGCTACATTCACAATAGCCAAAAGACAGAAACAACCCAAATGTCCATCAACAGCTCAATGGATTAACTATATGTGATATAACCATCAATGGAATGTTATTCAGTCATAAAAAGAAACAAAGCAGTATTATATGCCACAACATGAATGAACCTTGAGAAACATCATGTCAGTGAAAGAAGCCAGTCACAAAGGACCACAGTTTGTATGGCTTTGTCTATATGAGAATAGACAAATTCACAGAGATAGAAAGCAGATGAATGATTGCCAGGGCCTGGTGAAGTGGCAAAAAGGAAGGACTGTTTCATGGGCATGGGGCTTCCATTTAGGGTGAGTTCTGTGGGGAATTAAATAGTGGTTAACATTGCACAACACTGTGATTATACTTAATGCCACTGAATTATATACTTTAAGATGGCTACACTGGTAAATTTCATGATATGCGTATTACACACCAAAAGGAAAAAAAAAGAGAACTCTTTGCAGGAATCAGGATGCTGAGTTTTCAAACCAACGGTAATCTATACCACCAGCAGGACGCCCTGCCCCATCAATCCTAGTCAGTTGGTCATGACATGTGTTTCCCACCTGTGTCACTTCAGCAGCTCCCTCAGGTCATCTTCCTCTTTTAGTACACTCTCTCATCACTGCTTCCCTGGATCACTGCCACCTCCTCATGGCCAGTATTTTACTGTGTGCTAGTGAAACCTCAATGAGGTTGATTTAAAAACTAATATGAGTGTGGAGGAACAACTCCCCAATTTGGCCATGTATGCTAGCTGTAATCATTTCTGATCAAGTATCAACTAATTAATATATGTATCATTTTCCTTACAAACAATATTATACTATTATTAGCAAGTAATACTTCACGGTATAACAAATACAATTGAAAAACTATGTCATATATTATTCATTGGCTCAGGGCTAAATCTCAATTGTGTTAAAATCATAGAAACATGCTTCCTTTTATTTCTTTTTTTTGATATAGAGTCTCATTACGTCACCCAGACTGGAGTGCAGTAGTGCAATCTTGGCTCACTGCAACCTCCTTCTTCCAGGTTCAAGCGATTCTCCCAGCCTCCTGAGTGGCTGGGATAACAGCCCACCACCACACCTGGCTAATTTTTGTATTTTTCAGTAGAGATGGGGTTTCACCATGTTGGTAAGGCTGGTCTGGAACTCCTGACTTCATGATCTGCCCACCTCGGCCTCTCAAAGTGCTAGGATTACAGGTGTGAGCCATCGCACCTGGCGAAAACATGCTTCCTTTTCATTGCCCATATCCAAAACGTCACATATTGAGACATTTTTCTATCTTTTGTCTATTAAACATGCTAAATCTATAAAGAGTGGTCAATAAACCGACCACACGTAAAAAAAACCCCTAAAACCAAAAACAATGACTAACTGGAATCAGCACATACTTGGCAAGTTGTTTCTCGGCATCGGCACAAAGTTCAAGAAGCCCCATCAGAACAGCGGACACATCCATGTAAGGCTCCCAAACTGTGAACCCTCGTCCAATCAGATCAATGGCTGTTCTGCGGATAGTGCTGTGTGGAGGAAGTTTGGGGCTTGGAGGCTGGAGCAGAAGAAACGTCAGTGCCTTGCCTGAAATTACAGAATAAAGTGCAGAGCAATAAGGGATTTTTACTTTTGTAATCTTTTCTTTCGAAGCATACTTTCAAAATACAATCCATTTTTGATTTTTTTAACCGAAAAAGGTTTTGAACCTCAAGGCTACACAAGATCTGGAATAGTTTGCTCAGCCACATTCTTTAAAGAGAAAGGTTAAACTATATTATTTTATACCATATTCTAAAGTGTTTTTAATTACATAATTATATGTAAACAAGTACATATAATTTCAAAACATATCAGTGATCTTAAATCCCAAACAATGTTTCTCCCTAACTCAGGGTTCTGCAAAATGGAGTTTCAAATAACGTAATATGGTATTTCTTAACCTTTCTTCTGCATCTAACACAGTTCATATGTAACATACTCCCCCTCAGTAACACCTCTCATTACAGCCATGTGCTGTAATGAAGGATGGAGAATGTAGAACACGTAGTTTGAAAAAGCTTCTTTCCTGAAGAATCCATTTTCCTCTATATTCTGGTGTATGTATGGATATAGTACAATGATGTTGAATATGTGGTAAGTTCTTCATATGATCTTTGTTAAACATGTTAATAGTTCACTATTATTTCTAAATCTGATGAGATGACCTAGATGTTAATAAACACGTAACCCTTTGTGTTGAGGATGATGGGGACAATTTGTATAGTTAATGTCTAATGGCTATTAAACCACAAAACATTATCTACTTCAAAAGTCATTTTGACATTAAAAAAAGAAAAACAGCAGAGGTTACAAAAAGTGAATTGTAATTTAGAAGAGTTTTTGTTTGTTTTTTGAGGGGAAGAAAGAAACTAGTTCCTAAGCCACAGAACAGTACAGTGTACTGATTAAGAGGAACACACGCTTCGGGTTTACGACAGGGAATTAACCATGGTTTCATAACTTACTGGGGGCAGGCTCAAGAAGGTACTCACTGAGCCTAAGTTTTCTCATACTATAGGGCTTATTCTGAATACCTATTAAACATGGCTCTTTTCTAAACTAAGAAAATGGCACATAAACTTTAATACAACATATCCAGCCAACAAAAGCATATAATAATTTCTATATCATGTTAATTGCTAAATGTGAATGGATTGAAATGGAAAGGAAGAGAAGTAAAGAGTATTGTAAAGCCAGGATAAGAGTCAGTGGATACACTGTAAATTAGTGATTCTGAATTTCTTCTCAGTCACAGGACCCTTTAAGAATCTGATGAAAGCCATCAGTCCTTTCCCCAGGAAACTACACACAGTCATACCCATGAAATTCTGCCAAAGAATGTCAAGGAGGCCATGGATTGTGGGTTAACAATTCCTGCAGTAAACAACATCCCAAAATTCAGACTTCATATGTGTATTTGTAAATTTTACTCTTGTATTTAATCATATAACATGTAAAGCTTCATGCTTTACTTTTGGATCAGAAAAATAATAAACTCCTTTAAAAAAAAAAAAGGTAACACACAGTTTTCTATTTTCTGCCAGCATAAATATGTCCTTTTATCACATGAAACTGAGCATGTCCCTTTTCCTAAGTCTGTCAGCTTCTTGAGTGTAGAAACTGTGTTTCACATAACTTTGTATCTTCCAAACCACTAACCACAGTGCTTTGCACACATCATTTACATAAATGAAAAATAGGTCTGCCTTTACTGTAAGAATATTTCTAATATAGCTTCCTGCCCTAGTTTGTCAAACTGGTATTTCAAAATGTCCAGAAATCTACCACTTTCCTGTTTATTTTTTACTTCTTGGAAGTTGTAAGAGCTATAGAAAAACTCCAACTGCTATTCTCTGCAGACATCCTGAAACACCAGCAGCAATGGCTTTCAATCTAAGAAATAAGGCTCCCTGGAGGTGCATCCTTGCTAAATAATATTTAAAAGGAGGTAAAGTTACCCATGTACAATGTTTTACAGCATTTCGGTCATCATTTTCCTTTGTGGCCCTTTATCATTTTTGTGTTCATTACAGATGGGAGTGTACGGGCAACACTAGAGACACCTTGCTGATTCCTAAGCGCCTCTGTGGAGGGAGCTCTGGAGGAAGCCTCCTTACCACTCTGGACAATTTTTTCCTAAGAGTGAAAATAAACAACAAGTGGTCGATGTCTTGATATTTTCCATCACTGTTCTGACAAAGTGGGAAGGACAGCATAGGGGAATTGATCACTTGCACTTAGACGAAATAAGAGAAAAGGGTTCTCCTTTTCTGCTTCCTTTCAAAAGACCCTCCTTTCAGAAGACCCTGGCTCTACAAGGGCCAAAGAGTGCCTGCTGCTCCTCTGTCAAGCATGGCCTCGCTGTGAGAATGTGCGGCTCGGCAGGAAACACAGGGTTCCTGGAGCACCACCACCTCTTCTCTTCAATCACTTTCTATTCCACTCAGTAATCTCACAAGGAAAATCACCCCACACATCTCCTTTAGTTCTAGTTATGCCTCCAAGTAACATAAAGTAAAGATCCCTAAAGTTCTGGCAGGGCAGTTTTTACAGCTCTGGCAGGCCATGTGAGGGCATTTAGAGGGGCTACTCTACACACAAACTTCAAATCTACTGGTAGGAGTGTGATGTTTTCTCTTTTTCACGGAGTTAATTTGGAATTACAAAGATGTACAAATGTTAAAACTCCTTATCTATCTCTGACAACTTTTCCCAAACAAAACATATAAATAACAGAAGCGAAAAAGGATTTTCAGGTTAAACCTTTTGAGTTCTAGACTTGATTAATAGGAAGGTAGCAGCATTTCTGCTACTAGGAGTAACGACAATGATGTTATCTGGGATGCCTCAGACTGCAAACTTCTTAATCATCTATTCTTTCTGCTGATATTAAGAAACCAGCCTTGAAAAAATATATAATAGAAAGATATGGCTAAATTTCTTTCCTTCTTAACATATATTGTATTGCATTAGTTACTTTAGGGTTTTTCTAACTTTTAATTCCCTAAGACATAGGTGCTCTGCAAGATGGATCAAAGAGGAACAAGTGCAGAAATTAAGATAATCATAGTGTTTTCTCTTTTGATAGAAAAAGTCTCATGACAGGATTTTATGAATTTTGCCTCCCATGATTTTTCTTAAATGGTTGGTATGAGTAAAAGTTGTATATTTTAATCTGTATTAGAATCTAATTTTGTGGAAACACCTATTTCCTTATTTTATATAAATGCACCACTATTACACAGTATCTCACTCAGTAGGCAAGATGAGAATGATACTACCATTGACCATCATGACCAATCCCTTCTTAAAGGTTTGGTATGAAAATGTTCAGCTAACTGTCCTTGCTTTCAGTCAAGGATTTTCACATTTGGTGCCAACCCATCGATTCAAAGGTTCATGTAATATCTATGAATTGCATACTGCTATACTCTATTATGTGCTAGGGGATAAAGAATAAGATTCAGTTCCTTCCGTTGAGGAAATTCATTCTAATTCAGGAGGCAGGAGCAAACAGGCAATTTGAATATATTGTGAATTGCGTTATAATTAATTTTTATTAGCGCAAGATAGTAAGACAGAACTTAACAGATGCACTTAACCTCATCTTAGGGGGTGTAAGGCTTCCAGGGGGAGGTGATCTTTATGCCACACCCTTAAAAATAAGTAGGAATTAGCCAATTAAACGAGAAGGGAAAGAAAACATTCCAGGCAGAGGAAAGAGCACGTGTAAAGACCAGGAAATGAGAGATGACATGGCAAGATCAAGGCATTACATGTAGTTCAACAAGGCTAGAAACTGTGTGTACGTATGTCTGGGGAAGGGGTCAATGGGCAAAGGGGAGATGAAGTCTAACAATGAGACAAAAGGTAAGGCAGGTTATTACAGCTCCAGGACAAAGGGCCTTATATGCCTTGCTAAGGAGTTTGTGTTTATTCTGGTGACAATAAAAAACCATTTACATGCCTTGCTAAGAGTTTGTTGATTCTGGTGATAATAAAAAACCATTACAAAGTTTTAAGCAAAGGTGAGATCTGATCATATTTTCATTTTAAAAAGATCTATATTTGAGGTGTCCTGTGATTGGAAAAGGACAAATGCCCTTTTAATTCTGATCTTCTCATCCCCAGCCATATGGGATTAGTTAGAATCAAAGAATTTCTGAATGGAAAGACCTTTAGAAAAATCTGGTATATTTCTATGTTCTAGATGAGATAACAGAACCAGAGAGGACAAGTGGTTTAGTTGTAGCTCTGGGTAAGGAGTTGAGGTCTCTGTGGCCCTGATGACATATAATAACCAGTACACAACCTATATCTTTGCAATCACGTTGCACTGATGACACTACCAACTATGGATCAGAACTACATCTACAGCGGATCCCGAGTCCACTTTCACCTCCTTCTAATTTCAGCTGCAGTTACAAGCATCTCCCAAAAACAGAAGACTAAATAATGTCTTCTCTTTTTTCAAACACGTAGTTTTTGTCACTGATGCAACAGCTACAGGTAACAATACCAAGGTTCCTGTCATTGTCTTGGCTCTTAGTCGCACCATGGCTACAAAATGATTAATTCCACATCCAGCACAGCATCCACTGCCCAGGCAGGAAGAGGGAGAAGGATGAAGGACAGAAGGACCTGTGTCAGTGAAGTCCACCTCCCTTTTGAAGTCTAATTATATATTTCATTGGCCAGAATTATGCCATATAATAATTCCCCTACTTTCAAGGAAGGATGAGAAATTGCTGGCTGGACGTATTGCCATTTTCAATAAAACTGAGGCTTTGTGACATGGAAGTGGAGAATAGTATGTATGTACATATGGTACACACATATTATATGTGAACCAAAATATTATTTGGTATACACATATGTGTGTACCAAAATTATGCACAGATCAGAAATTTCTAAGAATCTGCTACAAACTTGTTGTAGAAATGGTAAAGTTTCCAGTTACATGGTAAAATATGAAAAATATAAACAATGTACTAAGTCTTTTTCATAAAGCTATATTTGTTCAATTTAAAGGATAACGATTAACA